GAAGACCAAGAAGAGGATGATGATGAAGGAGATGGAGGGGGGAAGAAGAAGAAGAGGGGAACGAAGCCCCCGCCGGACCCAGCGAGCCACCTGAGCCTTGATATAGGACGCCACGGCATCGCGTATCTCGTGGACGCACGAGAACGGAATGATTCTCACATAGTACTCTGCGCGTTTTGTACTAAGAGCTCTTTTCTGTTGCGTTAAAAATCCGTTCGAGACGGCGTGGTCAAGATTGAATGAGAATGGGTTTCGGGCACAGTCGACGAGGAAAGGGATGACCGGCTGGAGATGGGTCCAAACGGCGTTATCATGCGCAAGACTTGCTACGCGGTCAGCAGAGCGGGCGGCAGCAACGACAGATGTGACGATTTCCATAGGGTTCAGAGTCATCCTGCTGAGGATCTTGCGAATTGAACTCTGGTGGGCAACCTTCCGCCTGACAATGTTCACGAGCACTGCAGCATCGGTCTCGCTAGACTCCGCCAACCTGGCGGCGAACTGTTCCGCCATCTTTTTCTGGTACACCCCATCCGGGTCTTGGCGAGCGGCTGCGCGCTTTTTGTTCGACCTATCCCGCGTTGCCTGAGTCTGAGTGATGGTATAAATGAATTGTTATTAAAAGATTTTAGAGTGCGTACATGTGGCAATTTCTTCTTGCGAGGTTCAGTGGTAGACTGGGAATAGAATGTCAGTCAATTGGCGTTAACGTGCTGACAGGAGATACGCACCTGGCCACGAGTGCGACGCTTTTTTGCACTAGTAGTTGCAATAGACCCTGTGCCCTTCATCTCATCGCCGGAAGGTCCGGTTTCCTGCTAATTATGACGAAACATTCAATAAAAGACAGCATATACGCTGAATTCGATCGCTTACTATTGGCGACTTGCTCTCTGTCGGTTCGTGAACACCATTCGCGCTCTGGTGGTGTGGTGAGATGGATATCGAAACAGGCAGGTGATGATACTTACTGTATCGCGTTCAAAATTGGACTTGCTGCCCATATCCAGTGTCACTTTGCTGCTCGAAGGCCCAAATGTCGTCTGAACGGTGGATACGTCGAAGAAACCGGCATCGTCGCAGCTCTGGGATACACCTCAACAGAAGTAAACGCGTAGCTCAGTCGTACTCACGGAATGGACGTGCTTTGGCTTCTTGACTGCACGCGTATCTGACGTCGCTTTGCTCAGGAATGAGAACAATGTCGGCTGATTGGCCTGAAGCAGGGCGTGAGTACGCCTTTGAACTCGCGACACCATATTCTCACATCTATAGCGCGCTTCTTCCCTAGGCTCTTGCTGCTTGGCTTCATGTCTTCAGTGCTTGCAGCGAGAATGACGATCACGACGCGTCCTTATTGTAGATCAGGTGGCTACTCATGTACGTGACAGACGCGTCCTGCCTGGACGTCATAACACATGGTGCCGCCGTCGGCGCGCCACACTCCAAAACGGGCAGACCGATTTCCTCGAACGCAATTGATCCGTTCGGCCACATCGCAGATCCGGCACACAGTCGGTGTTCGAGCAGAGTAAACGTAGTGGATGTTCAGGGGTGTATGAAAACATTTGCTAGAGTAAAAAATACTGCAAGGATGTGTCAGTGGTTGGGCAAAAGAACAAAGGTCTAGTTACTTGCCATAGTACATACGTCCGACGCCTGTCCATACCACAATCGTTCCTCCCAACCTCGATCCAACGTGCAAGGTGCGATACCTGCCCAAAATATGTGAATGGAGCTGTCAGTCATCCGTGCATGGTTTGAAGGTGGAGCGGCGATGAAGGATGATCACGATGAAGGATGCTCACCATACTGGACGCGTACACGCTGTCAGAACCCCGGCGCGAATTCCATCGTTGCCAGAACCGCCATTAAATCTTCTTTCATGGATAGATCTAGTCCAGAAGTCTGTTACAGAGAAGGGATCGGTTGGTTGAGTGCTTCGAGGTGATGCTTCCGAGGATCGTCGCTGTGATCGTCGTCGAGGCCGACTCCAAAAATAGAATTCGAGGGGCGTACGTTGCATTTCTGTCGGTGAAACAAAGTTCCGAAAAGTTTGTCGCCTATGGATTGCAAGACTGAGCGCGTTCTGAATGTGGCCTTGTGCAGACTTAAGACGTTGGTGGTGTTCCCGTATCGCGTGGTATTGCGCGTGATGACTCAGTGCGTTTTCACTAACGCGACTGGAATAGCGGAGAACTGTCGATTGACGCATCCGCAATGTTGTTTTCGACGCGTCTGAGCCAGTGATACCGTTAACGTCGACGTGGTCGCGCTGGGCTGACCACAGACTCTAAGTGTGCGGTTGCCGTCCATGAAACGCGTGAACTCGACTGACTCTGAATGAGTCGGATACACGACCATCCGCCACTGACTCTAAGTGAGTGGGGATCGTAGACTAGAAGAGATGGTGCGTGGCCGCGACGTCTGCAGATGATTGGTGGTGACACATTGCACTCATGCTACTCACTGCTCAATGGATTGAACTATTGTCCGAATACCACAAAAAAGACTTGAACAAGTAGGCTGCAGTAAAGCGGGAACCAGAGCGCAGGCTAGCGACAGTTTGCATGGGCCAGAACGTGTTGGCGAAGATGGGTGGGCCTTGTCGGCTCGAATTGTGGCGCAACAACACAACGTTGCCTAATCGGGTCGAATGTTGCCACACCGTGTTCCACTGTCTCGAATCTTTGCACAACACTCGGGAGACTGCCTCAACGCATTATCGAATGATGGGGAGAATAATTGTACGTATATTCGAGTCGTGTGTGAGGCTTTAATACGGCTAAACGTTGTGTTTTGTAGCCACCGCCACAATGATTGCAGTTCCTCTCCTCCTCTTCGTCGGAAGTTCTTAAGCAGTTCCCTAACTTCGTCACACCGGCAGATCAATTCAGAGATGTTCACGGCATTTACTGGCGTGTTTCAGGTGTGTTTTGATATGTTATTCATGAGTGAGTTGCGGCAACTTTTTGGTTTTTCGGTTTTTCTTGTTTCCCTTGGCTCTTCCAAGTTCCCCCACATGTTCTATAACGTTCAGATTCGTATTTTATGAGCCTTCCTAACTCAGTTGGCAGAGTGCAGGTCTCATACTTAGTATGATCTTCCAATGGGAAGTGTGATCCTGAAGTCGCAAGTTCGAGCCTTGCGGAGGGCATATGTTTTGTTTTTCGAGGCTCAGTTGGCTAGAGCGCAGGTCTCATATTTGGTATGATCTTCCCATGGAAGAGTGATCCTGAGGTCGCAAGTTCGAGCCTTGCAGAGGGCATATATTTTTAGAAAGGGAAATAAATTATGCAAATTTTTTTAGCCGCAAGTCTCATTTTTCGATATGATTGGAGTGACCTAACTCCACAAGTCCAAGTTTTGCGGGGCGTTTTTGCCAAGCCCTGATATTGTGCGCGCCGCACTTTTTTTCAAATAGGATGTCGACCTTTCCTTGTGACCATCCGCTGCATGTGACGAGCGTGACAGTCGACCTCAAGTTGAACGTTGAACCTCAATTTATCTTCACGTTAAGCCTGAGCGAATGGACAGGCCTTCGGACTGCCTTCGGCTGCTTCGCAGCCTCGGCGTCCAACGCCTGTTGCGCGGAGTGAACCGACTCACTTCCTATTTGGATTCGAAGGGAAGACACGAAGCGTAATAATGATAGACGGCGCCGATACGATAAGCCACCATGTTCAAGATCAATAGCCTGCTCTCAGTGTGCTTTCTCGCTTCGAGCGCGTTTGGTTCCGTCCTAATACTCGGTGGTGGCGTCGCGGGCGTGATCGCGGCACGTACTCTTCACGAGCGCGGGCACGACGACTTTATCATCATCGACGCGCGACCCGAGCTTGGCGGACGACTTCAGAACCGCCAATTTGGGAGAGCAGACAATACTCGCTCTGTGGAGCTTGGGCCCAACTGGGTTCAAGGAACGCAGACGGGAAACGGTCCTGTTAATCCCATTTTGACGCTTACCAAGAAACACAAAGTCAAAACTCAGTTCAACGACCTGTTCGGCAGTCTATGTGAGTATTCGCGTTGGTCAGGCATGTTATTATCCGTCCTGACAGGGTTTCGAAAACAGCCTTCTTTGATTTCACTGGACCGTCAAACTTCTCGGATGTCTTCAATGAAGCTGACGACGGGTTTTCTGATCTTATTGCCGGCGCCGGTCTGATGGTTTCATTTTTCTTTATCATCCTCTCTTCCTGAACCGTCGTCTAGGCGCAAGATTGCAAAAGCGTGCGATTGACACCACAGCCCGAACGGGATACTCTCTCGTCGGATCCAAGCCGAAATCCCACCAGGCGCAAACGTCCGAGTACTATCTGTGGGATTGGGAGTATGCGCAGACACCGGAGCAGTCTTCCTGGATCGCCGCTTCAGAGGTCATTCGTCTGATTCCATTATGATTCGCACGTGATTAAAGCACCTGCAGAACAACAATTTCACGTTTGATCCAGACCAAGGATTTTCTGGCGACAATCTGCTGGCAATCGATCAGCGCGGATTCAAGACTTTCATCCAAGCGGAGGGAGCCGAGTTTCTCAAGCCCTCCCAAGTGCTTCTCAACTCCACCGTGAAATCCGTCTCGTATTCGACTTCCGGTGTCACCGTGACCCTGACAAACGGCAAGAACCTTACCGCCGATTATGCACTATGCACATTCAGTGTCGGTGTACTGCAGAACGATGATGTCGTGTTTCATCCCTCGCTGCCTGATTGGAAACAAGAAGCAATACAGTCTATGGTCATGGTAACCCCGACTTTTACATGGTCTTGACCTTGCTAATCGCTTCAAATGTCAGGCAACCTACACAAAAATATTCCTTCAGTTCCCTCACAAGTTCTGGTTTGACACCGAAGTAAGTCGTCCGCTCAGCATCCGCACAACTGTTAACCTGCACAGATGGGACTCTATGCGGACAAAGAGCGTGGCCGCTATCCTGTATGGCAAAGTCTCGATCATAAACACTTTCTCCCCGACTCGGGCATCATCTTCGTTACCGTTACGGTAAATTTCTCACCAACATGTTGAAGAAACCGTTAACGGTGTTAACTAACAGGGAGACTATTCTCAGCGTATCGAATCGCTTCCCGACTCTCAAGTAAAGGCTGAAGTGTTGAGCGTCCTGGCTTTAATGTTCCCGAACGTGTCTATTCCGCAGCCCACCGATTTCTTCTTTCCAAGGTGGCACACCGACCCACTCTTTCGAGGCTCTTACTCAAACTGGCCCGCGTCATTTGCAACGGCACACCAATCGAATTTACGCGCCACTGTCTCCGACAGGCTCTGGTTCGCGGGGGAAGCCACGAGTTTCAAGTACTATGGTGAGTACTGCACATATGGGCCTCGGCGTTCCCATGCATCCCAACAGCTTCCAATGGTTCCATTCCCACTGACATGTTCTTTGGCGTTCCGCCAAGGCTTTTTGCATGGAGCCTACTTTGAAGGAATGAACGTTACCAACCTATTGATTGACTGTATCGAAGCGGGTGGTTGCTCAGGCCTTGGACATGTAGAAAACGTGCCGCAATGATGATGATTGACAGATGTTGGCGGCATATCTCCGTTTCGGAGGGTATCTCGCTTGATCAGGGGCCTCCGCCAATCATCCCTTTCGGCTTTACTCAATTATCCGCGTACTTTTTTCGACAAAACCTTAATTGTTTGGGTGAAGAAACCTGGTTTTAAACCGTGTTACCGCAGCAAGTTTGCTGGCTTCGTTATGCCATGTGATCAATGTTTATCCATGTCTTTTGTGAATATAAAATGGCGACTTATGTTCAGTACCATGGCCTGGTTTATAGACTAGTCCTATCCGTTTGCGTCCTGGAGCTGATATGTCAAATATTACGGGAAAGGGGGATGGGTTCATGTCTTCACGACCAATTCAATTGACCGACATGATCGGTAGCGACTTCTCCGTCAGGGTCCCCGTGTGGGGGGAAAATCTAGAGTCACGTGCGTCACAGGTGTGACGGATACCTACTACTTTACTGTCCCCGACAACCACCCTCGATCCCCCGCGCCGACTGGTTACCCTGCTGTCGACCGCCACTCCCTTATCCCTCAACCTCGCTTTTCGGTCTGACTGTGCTGGCTCACAATGGTGCGGAAAAATCTCAGGAGATTAGAACCCCCCAGACTCCGATGTCTTTCATCGAAACTACAGCACTTTGTACGTCCAGTTACACCTTTTTTTTTTCAAAGTTTTGCCATTCAACTAACCCGCACGATCGCCAGTATACCCGCGTAAAGCTGTCACCATGCTTGTCTGCCTATCTGGTCCTGACAATTGTGTATTGCGTATTTCAAATCATCTCGCAAGGCCTCATGTTTCGGGATGACCATTCAGCAAGCGTTCGATTCTCGTCACTCATCGCGCAAGCAAAAATTCCGCGGAGATTTGCCTTCCTACTCCCAAACGACACCGTCCTGATCTGCGACGACTTTCGCGGGATCGGAAACTGTCGGGTAGCAGGCAGTTCGTTCGAACTTGCGATTTCACCTATCGCAAACGGAACGGTTACTCCACCGACCACCACTACACCACCTTTTCCACCTCCCCCACCATCATATCCATCTTATCCTCAACCCACAGCTTCCTTCTACCCCTCCGATGATGATGACCATCATGGCAATCATTATGATGGATACGGACCTCCGTTCTACAACCATTCCCGACGTGTCTTCAGTTCCAAATTCAAATCGGTCCGCGCATTTTCACAAGAGTTCGTCCACCGCAGGGTCTGTGTTTCAGTAGTTCCCTTTTTATTTATATTTATCATGGCCTTCAGACATTACAAGCCCGTGGCATTGACATCCAACCACAGCTCAACTCATCTGGTGGTGTCGATAGTCTCACCGTGACTGGATTGGACGGTCATCCGCAACCCGTTACGTTGCCACTCAGCTGTATTGAAGCTCAAGCTTGGCCAGACATCGAGTCCGTACCCTCATTGCCTTGCTTCGTCATTCATCTCATTTACCTTCATCAGATTTCGAGACGCACAGAGAGAGGATCTCACGATGATGATATTTCGCATTTGGGTTGTTGCCATGTCAATTTCAGCGGTAGGTCCATCATGCATTTTCACACTTCAAAATTCATCATTGGCCATTAGATCGTTTATGACTCTATACCTCACTTGTACGCAAACCGATCCCCACAACGCAACATCTATTCATTAATACTGATTTTCAGAACTGCCGCATTACTTGGCAATTTAATTGGTCTTGGATGGTCGATAAGTCAAGTGGTATTGTCGAAAACGCGCTCACAGACCCACACCCGAGCGATCACCAACGGTGCTTGTAATGGAATTGAGCTTATCCCTGCCGCTTTGATGTCGAGAGCCGAGCGAACGGTTCGTTAACCTTCCATTCTTGAATATCCTCGACTAATCCTTGGACATTGGGAAAGACGTTAAACGCAGTTCTCAGTGGAGTCATCTTTCCTGTGTTCGTATTCTTGTCCTTCAAGATCTTCAAGGTAAGTTCCATTCGGAGGTATGTTGTGCTCGTCTCAGCGAATATTTTTAGGTCTTCCGACACCAGACTTTCCGGCGTGTCGGTGCAACGAAGGAGGTACACAATATCTGCAAGGTACGGAGCACGGAGCACAGTCGTTCTTATTTTGGACACGGTCACTGACGCTATCATTGCAGATTGCTCTAGGATTCTGCGTGACTCTGAATCTCTCTGCCTTCTTGCTCGTCGCCTCGAGTATCCTATGGATGCACGAATTGCTGACGGGTGTCATTCGGAAATACGTTGGTTCACCGGCAGTGGTTTTTGTAATATTTTTTGCCTGCATGTCGGTACGTCGTGCCCACAGATGTGCCACGCCCATGACCTTACATTTACTTCTAGGCTAAACTCCCATGGGTTTTCCTGGTATATACTGCCATTCGAGTGCTTGGAACTTAGACAGATTGCTTACTTCTATTTTAGGGTCCGAATGTGGTTTATCGCGAGCGAAGGAAGCTCATGTTGGTGTTCATCGTTTCGGGTATCGCCCTTTCCGCTACATGGGCGACGACCCTAGCAAATCCACTTTACCAGTATACTTTTGCATCATGGTCGTTCTTTGCCAGCCTGAACATCCTAACGTTCATCTTCCTGGTCGCTTCAACGGTTCTTGCCATTATATGTCGATTTAACTTCGGCAAAGGCCTCGCGCATTATAGTATGTTTCCAATCAATCCCCCACCACCTGCGATGACTCATCTTTATTACAGTTCAAGTGCTTGATGCGTTGGAAGACGCCAAAT